TCCTACCACTTATTAATTTCTTGCCCCTTTGCTACTGATCTTTGGGATTGGTTTCTCTCTTTATTTGGTTGTAGATGGACTCCACCACCAAATATTCAAAGCTTGTCTAGCCCTTCGTTCCTTAGATGGCCAAACAAAAGGGGAAGAATTATGTGGAGATTTGTGAGGGCTGCTATTTGCTAGACCCTATGGGAGGAAAGGAATGCCAAAACTTTTTCTAAAGTAATAACAGTTAGGGTGGTGCACTGGCTTAAATCCTTGGACTTGTTTGTTGATGTTTCTACAAACATGTTGCTGAATAGCTGGATGGAGGTGGCAAATTCTACTCATGCTCGCTCTTCTGTTTGTCCTGTGTGGTCACCACTAGCTTGTGGCTTTACAAAGCTAAACTTTGATGGTCATAGTGAAGGTAATCTAGGTCCATCAGGAGTAGGAGGGGTCTTCAGAGATGAGGATGGGAGGGTGCTTGCAATGTATTCAGGTCCCATTGGGGTTGGGGACTCTCTTAAAGTGAGATCTATGCTATTGGAGGGGATAAGGCAGACTAAGGAACTAAATACACAAAAGTTAGTTGTTGAAGGGGATGCAAAGCTGGTGTTAAGTTGGCTACAGAAAAAGAGTGGACTAATGAGAGGAGGGAGATTAAGTGGCTAACTAGAGGGCTAGAAATCCATTTTTAGTTGGTTAAGAGAACAACAAATGCTTTTGTTGGTTCCTTGGCAAAGCAGGGGTGGGAAGGGATCAAATGTTTTGGGTTATTCTGTAATTTTTCCTTTGTTGTCCTTCTGGAGAGAGTTAAGACTTTTTATCTCTCTCTAGAGTGCTGCTATAACTGCATTTTTTTATTAATCTAATGGATTCCCGTTATTGATTAAAAAAAAACTAAGAGGGCTTCTGCCACACTTTTGGGAATAGGAAAATTGTCAATAGAAGAGAGGAAAGCACAAAAAGTGGGCGAGATGTTCTCATAAGAGGAAAAATGAGAAATAGGGTGTTTAGTAGTACAAGACCTAACACCCTTCCTTTGAGCAATGGGAATGTTTAGGTCATCAACAGAAAAGGTATCAATCTAAATGTTGGTGTGTTAGCTGGGTTGTTCCAGCATTGATGCGGAATCAAGTCCCGCAACCAGGACTTTGGGGAAAAAAGAGGGTAAAGGGGAAAGTTATGGGTGATTAACCAAAAAAAAGTATCAATCTCAATGGGATCAATCATATCAATGGGAACAAGAATACCTAGCTGAATAGGATCTGTCCCCTGGGAGTCCAATGGCACTGGTAGTATAGCATCTGGACGCTCTGCATTTCTTGAACTCGGCTGGCTCTTGTGTCGACGAAAGTAAACACAAAATGAGGGAGGATTAGGAATAGAAGGAAGATGAACTTGAGCATGTCTCTCCTTAACTACGCTCCCCTTGAAGAGAAATAGAGAAGGGTCACCCTTAAAAAATGACACATCCATGGAAACATAGTATTTCCTGGAGACTGGATCAAAGCATCGATAACCCTTTTGGGAAGAGGGATACCCTAAGAAGACACAAGGAATGGTATGAGGATCAAGTTTACCATGAGTGGGGAACAGATTTTGGATGAAACAACACCCCAAAACACAAAGTGGAATAGGGAACAAGGGAGTTTTTGGAAAAAAGAAGTTGATGTGGGGCCATATACTTCAACCACCGACAAAGCATACTATTGATGAGATAAGTAGCACGTAGAACAGCTTCAAGCTACCATTTTGGGACATTCATATGTATAAGTGACCCACGAGTAACTTCAAGAAGATAGCGATTTTTTGTTTTCGCAACACCATTTTGTTGAGGTGTTTGAGCACAAGAGCTACGGTGAAGGGATCCATGTGAAACAAAAAATTCTATGAGGTCACTATGGAAATATTCTCTGGCATTGTCAAATTGGATGATTTGGATCTCGATTTGAAATTGAGAAAAAACCATTCGTTAGAATTCTTTTACAACTTTGGGTACTTCTTCTCTTGATCGTGTTGGATACACCCATGAATACCTGGAATAGTCATCAATGAGTGTAATAAAGTATTTATAGCCAGTCTTAAACGGCAAAGTAACAGGGCCCCAAACCTCAAAATAAACAATATGAAAAGGAAACTCAGATCTGTTACTTCTCAAAGGAGAATGAGTTCTACATTGTTTGCTCAACTGACAAGTTTGACACATAAAATCCGACACTGACCCTGACTTGAATAGTTCAAGAAGCAACACTTTAAACAACTCAAAAGACAAATGACCAAGGTGACTGTGCCACAAAATAATTTGACTCTTACTATACCGACTCTTAGACTCTATGACTGCAAGACCAACCTTATTCTCCAGTATCTAAAGCCTGTCTACCATACTTTAAAGGGTTGCTTTGATCTTTTGTCAACTAGGGGTGTCGAACTTAATCTAGATCATTTATGTGTTAGCTTTTCTATTCATCATTGTTGGGTCCAGGAATCTGTAAACTTAGTTTAAGTCACTCCAAGAGTAGAGTCAATTCATAAAGTACTGGACACGAATGTTAGTTAAAAATCTAATTTAGGGAATTGAGAATTTGTAGTTAGGATAGCATTATGTGAAAGTGACTCAGAATGTGGTAATCCCTATCTAATGAAGTGTGTATGCAGATCTAAGTACAAGAGAGTTAATGGTAATCTAGAATATTTCTAGAGAATCTATAGATTGGTATCAGAATCCATTGTCATTCACTCTTTTCTTTTGATTAAATATATTACTTTTGAATTTATTAAATCTCTTCTCTCATTTGATTCATTCAACTATAATTGGTTATTCTTTTCTTTTTTTTTCTTTTTTTTTGATCAGCAATCGGATCATTATCTATTGTTTCACTTTATTCATATATTCTTTGTTCTTGCTAAGATATGGTTTAGTGCTGCTCTAATTATTCTTGGGTTTATTTGGTTCTTCTGTTCCTCTTGAAGCTAGTAACCTCAGTCACTTAAGGATAGGGGACCTTTCAAGGACTTGGAAGGGGAGATCAGGAGATTCCATGTGTATGTATTGGGGGGGGGGAGATAAAGGGCACCCTTCAAATCACCTTTGGTGCTTAGTTCTTCAACAATTGGAGGTGGAAGTGGAGGGCGACTGACATACACATATTAGTTGGTTTGGAGTAAATATCTGTATGCAATTTGGGCTGGTAGGATTCTATCGAGCTATGATTGCATCTTTTGTTGTCTAAGAGGCTGCTACCCAACTCCATCCTCTAGAAATTTCATCCATTAGTAAAAACAGCAAACATATTTGTATGTTGGTCATCCTCAGGCATAGCCGGAATGGTCAGAGATGAGCAAGGCACCATTACTAGCAATCTACTTGGGCCTGATAGGGGGGTTTTAGATTCCACAGGGGCAGAATTGATGGCTTATAAGGTCTTAGGTTGGTTAGATCACTTGATCTAAAGAATAATATTGGTAAAAGGTGATTCCAAGGTGGCGGTGTAATAGTTGTGGAAGAAAAATGAAGATTGAGACACTGTCATATGAGGATATATATATATATATATATATGATGAATAACTTAAATTTTATTAACAAACTTAATGTAACATCTTTTCAAGCATCCCTTAGAGGCATGAGATGCTACCTCTCAAATGATAAAACAAATTGCAACTGTGCTCAGCAACAGAATTAATGTTTAATGGTTTGTTTAGTTCCTTTCTTTGGGATGCTTGGCATGATGTAAATATCCCATTCTCTCATTGATTCAATAAAATTGAATGTGTTATTTAACAAAAAAAAGTTAGTTGGTTTGGAGATGGTTGCAATGAGCCTTGGAATATTAGGCATTATGTGAGGTCAGATGGATGAGGTCTGTGAACTCTCTAGAGTACTAAGATCTGAGTTTTATTCAGGAACAGCCATCACTCGATTTTTTCCCCTTATTTTTCTTTCATGGATATACTGCCTACAATTCCAAACTCATTTGAGAGGCTTTCTTGAGTCTGTTTCTTCCCCAATTTGGTATAATAGAGAATTTTTGTTACCTTTTATGTATAATAATAATAATAATAATAATAATAATAATAATAATAATAATAATAACAATAATAGTGAAAATGTTGATGGAGTGTCTTTCTCGCATGTTCTGGACTGATGTGAGGCTTCAGTTGTCAGTTTGTATGGGTTTCAGGGAACTTATCTTGGTGGAAAACTTACATGTGATCATTGATTGGAGAGTTGCACAGGACTTTGGATGATTAGACCATTTGCCACAAAATTTAGAGGCTAAGACTGAAATTATATCAAGTTGCCAGAGGGTACTTTACAGACAATCCCAGTAATCATCATTTGCTTAATGAATGAAAGGGCTATTTCTGGAATATGAAGAACCCTTCTCTCTTGTAGAAATCGTAATATAGTAGGCATAAGGGATTCCTCAATTCCATTTCATCACCTCTAAACAAGCAGAGTAACAGTGGTTGGAAAGCTCTAAAAGTTGCCCTGATGTTTCAAAGATAGACTACAGTTTAGGACATTATGGTTTATTGAAGACGTTGAAGAGTGTCACAACATCTTTATGAGATGTTTGTTGCCAACAAGATTGTTTTGATACTTGGTGGTATTAATGTTTCCCCTCTTCATACATGTTTGCACAAGAATATCAGATCTTTACTTCATGTATATATGAGGTTTCTACCGGGCAGTTTAATAGTCTAAGAGCAGCCACTTTGTGCAAAAATGCCAAAATTTAGGTCCATTTCCAGTCCACCCCTCCCATGACCCCAGATAGCTGAGACCAATATTGGGTAATGACCTTTCTTGTTCTGGGCAGTTTGACCCTTGATTGTATATAACATCTTATCCTGATATGTCAAAATTGATGGAACTAGACCCCAAACGTTCTTTTATTGTAATTTATAAAGATGTAAAGTAACTTATAAAGCATATGACATGTTCAACTAGCTTCTTGAAACATTCCAATCGGATTTCTTAGAAATATAATATCTCCTATTGGATGATCGCAGGAACCATCTGGATAGATGTGACAGAAATGGATAAAGTGTTGCCTGAAGCTGCTCTCCCTGATTTTTCTTTAAAGGTCTCCTTTTTTTATTTCTATACTACTAAGGGCCACTGGGAATAACCGGCCCCACATCCTCTTCCCATCTTGCGTCTTTTTTTCACCCAAAATTTAATATTTAAGGTATTCATGTCAGGAATTGAAATTTGATAGTGCTATACTAACAAGCTTTGATTCCAGGCTGCGCAAAATGCTGTCAAGCAATATGTTAGTAGCATCTTCTCTCATCTTCTGAACAGTGTTTCAGGTGATTATTCTAGTTGTTCAAACTAATGTGTCCATGCATCTATTGGATGCATTTTAGTGCATATTCATCTTATTAGTTGTATGTGTTTTTATTCTTTGAATGGTTCAATGTCCTGAGGTACAAATTTATGTAAATTTGCAGAAGCCCTCTCTGTGGTCCACATTACACCAAAAGGAAGAATGGAGGAAGAATGTTCTCTGCAGGCTGTACTGGAAGCTGGCAAAAAAGCAGTGATCCAAGGCAGTATGGATGCCTTACTGGTAATTCTTTGACAATAGTTAGAATTATTCCCTGCTTCGTTTTCCTTTTGTAATGCTTTTTGTCTAGGGAATTCATTTATGCCATATTGGGGGAACCTAAATCCACTGAACCAGAACTGAAGAACCTATGCACATTTGATGGTTGTTCAATTGGCATGCCTTGCAGAGAGCAGATAGAATATTTGATATTTCTATAACATGGAAATGAGTATGAAGTTTTTTTCTGAACTGGGCAGCCCAGTGCACAAGGCTCCCACCAATGTGGGGTCTGGGGTGGGACAGATATATGCAGTTTTAACCCTGTAGATACAGAGAGAAGCTGTTTCCAAGATTTGAACCCTGGTCACTCAGGTCGCAATGGAGCAATCCAACCATTGTGTCAAGGCCTACCCTCAGAAAATCCTATCTAGCTATGTTATTATATCCCATTTGAAAAAATGCTATACCTTCTAGATATATGATTTTTTCTGTGGGCTATTAATGTTTGTAAAGAGTTAAAGATCAATATCAACATATCTTGTCAGCACAAAAGACACAAATGCTAAGGAAACAGACTTCATAGGGATGTCAAATGGTGTTACATGGTTTCACAAATCTTAGGGAATCTTAATGATCGGAGGGTTCCATGTCTTGTTTGTTTACTTTACAGAGCTGTTTGTTATTTAACAAGATATGGAGGGTTATCTGTATAATTCCAACATTTTCATGTTTAGAGGTACGGGCAAAAAAGAATATTTACCTCTCAAGTATTTATTTGCCTTGCTAGCCTCAAGCTTGCAACCCATACATCATGCTTTTTCCCTAGAATAGCAGAGAATAATAGCAGAAGAGAGAGAGAGAGAAGATGCAACAATTAAAATTACCTTTATTTTTCATTAAGAAAAGTTTCAGTACTTGTTTCTACAGTTGGGAGTGGGTTTGCTGATTGGGTTGTTTATTGTGGTTCCTTAAATGACCAAGAAATCTTACACATGGAAAATTAGCTCAAAACTCAACATGAGCATCTAAGTTCCTCTCGTCACCCTTTATGCATGGAAAAGATCTTGGCCCAAAACGCCTCACTATGTGCAAAATAAGCCCACTTTACAGGTTAGTTCTAGATTAAAAAGTAAAACTCTGAACAGCTAGTCTTAGTAAGACAGGGCGTGTGGCTGATATGGACTCTGGGATTGAACATGTGGCAAATCCAGTCATCCACAGCCAGGAATGTTTAACCTCATGATATGTACATTTTCAAAAACATTATATTGTCCTGCTGCAAGTTCATTTTTTAACTGTTGATGTTATAGTTCACTGTTGCATTATTTTGTTGTTGATATTTCTCGGATATTAATAAGCATCTAAACTATTAAACATGCAATGCTTGCATGATTGGGAGTTAAATATTTATCAATCATTTAATATGCCCCATGTATTCTTCCTATAATAACATAATTGACTGAAAGAAAAGTGCTTATATATTCATACATCATACCAATTCAAGAACAGATTTAGCCAAGTCCTCGTATCTCAAAATTTTATGCAACCAAATGTTTAACCTCATGACCTGATTCCTATGCTTGTCATTTAGCTCTCTCTTTTGAGACAGCCATGTTGGATAATATGTCGATGGTTGACCATTTCATTACTGGAGGCAGATGTATACTAATATGTACACATTATATGTAATGGAATTATAGAATCGGAGGCCATCCTTTTTGTCAATATTGCTTTCTGTTCAGGGTTTCTTGGAGTTTTTCCATTGAACCACCCAGAGATCACCTTGGCATTGTCCATTAAGGGAAAACTTTCGCTGTCCACAGCCTCTTCCATGTGATATGTTTAGTCCATACAGCATACCTTCAGCACTGTTATTGTTGCATGAAGTTCATATGGACTAACGTGTCATGCAGGGATAGCCCTGTGGTCAGCACAGGCTGCTGAACATAGACAGCCAAAATTTTTCTGTCCATTAAAGTTCTTAATGCTGCAAGCAGAATCTTTTGGATTCTTGCTGCTAATGGACAGTTGGAGCTTGTGAATACAAAGAAATAATCATCTATGGGTGCTTGTGAAGTCAAAGACTCAATTAGTGGGCTTTGCAATCCATGGGAGTCATCATGAATCATCAACTAAGCATTGTCCCAACTATATGAATCCTGCTTCACCATTCCATTATGTTCAGTGCTATATCTGTTGTTAAATTATGAACGTTTAAATCATTTCATGTTACTTCAACCTATTCAGTCTGCCCCTAGCTCTTCTAGCCCCATGAACTTGTAAGAGATCACTTCTTATGGGTGTCATAAGATGGTCTTCTCTGCATCTGACCAAACCTTCTTAGTCAAGTTTCTTTCATTTTATCACCTAGTAGAGCTACTCCTAGATTCCTTTGAATGGGCTTCATTTCTGACCCCATCCTTTCTAGTTTTTCCACTCATCCATTTCAGCATTTATTTTTCTGCAAACATATATTTTGGACATCTTGTTTCTTGACTATCAAACACTCTACTTCATACAAGGTTGTTGGCCTTGCAACTGTTTAATAGAATTTTCCTTTTAGCCTAAGTGGTGTTCACTTATCACATTAGGCTTCGGATGCACCCCTTGAATTTTTGCCCATCCTTGTTCTAATTCTGTGGACAACATCCTCAATCTTTCCCTTGATGTTTGTAATTTCAATATCTGTACATGGTGAAATGTTCGCCATGTACAGTTGGAGAAATTTCGGAGATATTTTGCTATCTGGAAAATCTAAAAAATCAGGAAAGTTTTTTAGTAACATAGAATTAGTTAATAAACCTTCAAGAGATCATTAGAAGAAATATAATTGCAAATTTAAGGCTCAAAACCATAGCAAAGAACTATATAAATCAAATAAGAAAAATTAAGAGACTGTAATAGGTATGTTTCCCTTTGTCTCCATTTTGGTCTTTAGCCATCTTCTCTTCTTTATATATGTCAATTATTTGCCATTTTAACTTTTGTCTTTATTGTTATTATATGTTTTGTTTAGATTGAGAATACTCTTCTGTAGTAATATCCATTTTTCTTATTGTGACTTAGTGAATCATATCATAGTAATCCAATTATCTAATCACCAATTCTTTCCTGCTTCTTTTAGAAAAACATTTTTAAAAAATTATGATTGTTTTAATGAAATATTAAAAAAATGTTTAATAATATTCTAAGATTTTAAATTTTAAACATATAGTCTATCAATGAAATCTGAAATATCATTGGCATAGGAAGACGATGATGTGTCCAACCAGCTCCCAAGTGGAAGAAGAGGAGAGGGAGGGGGAGGAGCTCGAGGTCAAGGAAGTGGAACGGACTTTGAGCATCAGATGCCTTCGAACGAGGACTGCTTTTTTCAAAACGTTAATAAGGAAGATGAAAGGGTAGTGATGCCTTTAAATGGGTGGGGCGGGCTGGGACATTTGGATTGTTGGATTGGGCCGAATGGATTAGGTGACCCAAAAGAAATGATCACTGTAAAAAACCAGACTTTTGCCCACGTGACTTCTAAAGCCTCATGTTTTAAGGATGCTTTTTCTAGTCTACCATCTTCTTCGTCTTTGAAACCTGTTCGTGTTTCGCATATGAACCGTGGGGGATCAGATTTTAAGGGAGATAGAATGGTGAGGAAGGATACATCTTCGCAGTTGAGGGCAAAAAAGAGAATAGGATTTAAACAAATTACATCGAGGTTTGCTGGCTTCCAGGGCAAGAGGAGAGAGGAGAAGAAGAAGAAGAAGAAAGAGAAGAGAGAGAGAGAGAAGAGGCGAGAAGAATTTTGACCAAAAACTCAAACTGGCGATGCTAGTAATTTTGTATTTATATAGAGTTATAAATATAGAGTTACATCACTCCCCCTCAAGTTGGGGTGTAGATATCAATCATCCCCAACTTGTCACAAAGATTATAGTGCTGTATGGAGTTTAATCCTTTAGTAAGGGCGTCTGCAAGTTGATCCTCAGAACTGATGTAGGGAGTGCAAACTTCTCCTTTTTCCAATTTTTCCCCGATGAAGTGTTTGTCAACCTCTATATGTTTGGTTCTATCATGGAGAACAGGATTGGCTGCAATGTTGATGGCAGCCTTATTCTCACAATAGAGCGACATAGGATCACTGAGAGGAAAGCCTAGTTCACCCAAGAGATTCTTTATCCATAGAAGTTCTGCCACACCATGAGACATGGCCTTGTATACATCTTCTACACTCGATCTAGCCACCACACTTTGTATTTTACTCCTCCAAGTAACAAGATTTCCCCCAACAAAGGCACAATAGCCACTAGTAGATTTTCTGTCATCCACAGAACCAGCCCAATCCGCATCAGTGTAAACCTCAACTCTCATACGCCCATGTTTTCCAAACAGGAGTCCTGTCCCAGGGATTTTCTTCAAATATCTAAGAACTCTGTATGCTGCCTCCAAGTGTGTGGCCTTAGGAGCATTCATAAACTGACTAAGAACTCCCACTGCATATCTAATGTCAGGTCTTGTCATTGATAGGTAGAGAAGTCTACCCACTAGCCTTTGGTACTGCTTTATGTATGCTATGGGCTCGTCACTGCAATCCTCGAGCCTGTGGTTTACATCTATAGGAGTGTCAGCAGGTTTTGCTCCAAGCTTCCCCATGTCCTTCAATAGATCTAGAACATATTTCCTCTAGGAGATGAAGATACCCTGATTGGAGCGAGCAACTTCAATTCCAAGGAAATAATGTAAAGGCCCTAAATCCTTCACTTCAAACTAAGTGGCCAAAAATCTCTTCAATTTCTGTATTTCTGAGTCTCAATCACTGATGATAATAATGTCATTGACATACACAATTAAAGTTGCCATTCTCCCTTGCTCTCTCTTCACAAAGAGTGTGATTAGACTAGCACTGCTTAAAACCCATATGTTGAACTGCCTTGTGGAACCTACTGAACCAAGACCTTGGAGACTGTTTTAATCCATACAGAGATTTCTTTAGTCTACATACTTTCTGCTCATTTCCTTTAGCACAAAAA